CCTGCCAATACTCATTTATCATTACCAATTGGTAAGAATTATTCTTTGTGGAATATTGTCATCAATACTTTTTTTTATATTAAAAGATTTTATTTAATATATTAACATTTGACCTAAAAAGATAAGTAAATGCTTTATAGTTACGCAAAATGGATAATCATGATGTATCTTATAATTTTATTGTAACATAAATGTTGTAGCCCAAATAATACCTTCTGGAGTTAAAGGATTATCACAACAAAGCATACGCAACAGTAATTCCGTCACTCTTGCACAGGTATTTGTATATATGAAGAAGAAATTTATTTAGAAATGGAAATTTTACAATTACTAAGATTTCCAAATGAGACAATGTTATTTTTTAGGGTGGACAAGCAATTCAACTTGTTGGATCTCAAAGGCCACGACTTAATCATATGACTCGTCAAGTACAACCAAATCAAGTCAAATCAACTGTTTTGTCAAATCAATTAGTAACTGTGGCTAAAACCGTAACAGCAAGTCAGTTAATATTATCTGGTAACAAACAGGTGTTAACTCCAATAATGGGTGAGTTACCATAGATACCATGCTACAGTATATTTCTACTTAAAAATAAATTGTTAAAGTAATAAAATTTGCTATTTCCACATCATTTTATAGTTTCTATATTTAGATGTACATATGTTTTTCTGTAGATTAGTAAAAAGAAATGCGTTTATTTAATAACAATTTTTTTATAGTTAATTAACTAAGTTATTATTCAGTTTGTTTCTACACAGGAGATAAAATTAAATTTCTTTTCAATTACCAAAAAAAGTAAAACAAAATGTTTTGTTTTATAGCAGCAACGAAGCCAGTGCTTATGGCGTCTCAGACGACACCCTCTTCCCAAGTAGTACCTGCAAATAAACAAACGCTATTGGCAAAATCCTTGCATGCTAGAGCTTCAACAGGACAGTGCAGTCAAACTCAAAGTCTCGGTGTGGCGACGTTATCACAACAACAAGTACGTATCGTACATTATTGATGTCAATTTTCTCAAATCATTTTCTCAAATAAAACTTAAGTATGGTTTATTCTGTAGTTACAGAGAACTCTTGTCAAACCTGTACAGCTCCAACAGTTACAATGTCTAGCTGCACAGCATAAAGTAGCTGTTGCAACCAGCAATGCGCAAAACAGAACTCAAATTGAACCTCAGAGAAATTCTACATCTGCTCCTGGGGAAGATCCAGCCTGAACATGTTCAAATAATTAATGTTTCATCACATTTAAATAATTGGAGCTTGCCTAGAAGGAATGTAATGAGGTGTTTGTATATTACGTTAATGTGACATTTAAAAAGTTTTAATTATGCATGCAATTATAATTGTAAATTATGAAATTTTTATTCATGAACGATCGATGTTTATCAGCAAAGACATATTTTATAAAAATCAGCGTAGTCTATACTTGTGCGCATGTGCAATAAATTATTTCTACAAAAAAATTTGCCTCAAAATATTACTTTGAGGGCGGTTTCAATTATTGTACATATAACTTATACATACAATATAATTTGTTTTATATTAAAAAATGTAATAAATATTCCATTTTTTATTGACCTTGACCCTTTTTTACATTATTACTACTTCTTTTAAAGAGAAATATCGTATAATATTCAGATTTTTTTAAAAGACATGTAGTTATTAATCTACAAATTGACAAATAATAATTAAAGTTACGAATTATACAGTTTTTAATTTAATTTGCTTTTAAAATAATTTCTCATGATGTAAAGTAAGTATAAAATGTTATATATGATCTTAGTAGTTGTAGAAAATATGATGAGTCATTAGCTTCATGATTGCATACTAAAAAATAAATCAATAAGTTCAGATATTAAAAATCTAATGGTCCAATTAAAACTGGTTTAAAATAAAATTATATAGCCATATACACTGTTTGATACTATAAAATATACAGTTTTTACATACAATTTGAACAAATCAAATAATGATCACAAATGTTTCTCTTAAATACAACAAATAATAGTATATAAAATATTAATAAAATTACGATGTGGCATACCTTATTTGTATACTAAATCAATATATTAATCACATGATATATACACATATAAATAGAGCTTTTATAAACAAATTCACTATTCATGACTTTTCATATATTATTTGTAAGATAATTTAGTAAAAAATTAAATATATAAATTGTGCTCTTTAATAATTATTACTAAAACCACTTATTGTATATAACAGTATTTAGCCCACTATTTCTGATTAATAGAAAAAATGATCCACTCTTTAACAATAATTGTTCTCAACAGTGATTATGTCAATAATAAACCATATAAAAGCTTTGTATACTAATTGGCACTCAGTTCCAGCTGTATGCTATCAAAACTTTTATTTTCCCTACTCTAATTTAAATGACAAATATCAATTTTATGAGTATCTGTTGCAAGAAAGAATCACACAAATAATTTAGTAACGTTCTATTTGTTTATAGTATTTACATAAAAGACTTAATTCTTTTTTAAGAAAAAATAAAATTAAATTAAAAAAGAAATAAAAAGAAATATTTTTATTAATTTTCACATTCAGATATGCTATGCTTAATATATAAAATTTCAAACAATAATTCAACAAGAAATTAGAGTAGAGACAAATGTCTTATGTGCATTTCCATTATAATCAGTCTCTTTTTTGGAGATCTATCTACACTTGTCTTGCAAGTATTTAATAACAATGTTAAAATGTTTCTTACTAAAATTTATTAATAACAAAGTACTGTGTACGATCTGTTCAAGATACTTTTTTTTTATATATTTAATTTCCATTGTACTGTATCTTGTATTTATGAGATCATAACACAGACTATAAATTATAGATTTTATTTTATAAAAAAGCATTTTCATATCACTTCAATTTTTTTTCAAACAACATATTCTTTAAACATTATAAAAATTTATCAATATTGAGCATTGGTAATAATTCTCACTATAATATCACCAATATTATTGACTACAAAAGTATGCACATACCTGATAACACTATTAACTATAAATATAAGTCAACAATATATGTACATAATTCTCATACTCTATTTCAATTATTATAAAAAAACCTATTTTACTTTAAATCCTTAATAATGCATTTATTATCCATTTCTAGTCGAGAATTTGATGAATCGGAAATTTTTATTGTTTGTAGATCTTTGTTTATTTCCCATTCACTCTCTGGATCAGAAGAAGTATTTAAAGCCCCTACCATATCATCTTCTAGTGATATTTCTGATAGATTTTCCATACTTTGTTGATTTGCATCACTGTATAAAGATTCAGTAGCTACAACAAAAATTTTAGTTTTGCATATAATTGCTTTAAAGGTAAGGTAGGGAAGGTATGGTGTGACAAATGATGGAAAAAACCACTAAAACCAAAAATAGCCTAATTTGCTAATCATAAATCATTGACGACATCTGTAAGATGCTTGACTTTCCTAATTCGAAAATTATAAATAAGTTCTTATTTTACAGCACAAGAAAGCAAGATAAAATTCTATAGATTGATTTCGATTTTAAACAATTGACTATCGCGTTATTTAATTGCAATTCCTACCGACTGCGTAACCACCAGATCATGTGATACAAATTTACATTAGGTGGAAGACCAGTTTTATACCTCGTCTGTAATGGTACTAATTGTATACAAGATACTTGTGTATTTTATATGTAACGAATAATTAAAATAAAATAAAATAAAATAAATTACCATTATTCAATATGTGGTCAGATAACCACGTAGGTTGATCCCATTCATCAAATTGTAAATTTGCATTATTTTCAACTTCTTCTATGGATAACATTGCATGCGATTCTGAGTCTGTAACGTCAAATATCTCAGTCACTTGCACCTTATTATTATCGTCCATGTAATAATATGCCATCACAGCTTCTTGATCAGAAGTTACCTGTATATTTCAAAAAGAAATTTAAGTATAATGAGACTTTGAACGAGAATGTATTATTTTTAATTTTCATCTTATTGTGTTATCTACAATTCTCCCTTCAAAGGATATAACCAAATAAGGGGATGAAAATGCCCTTAAACCAAATTTATCTTATGATGGACTATTTGGTTTAAGAGCACTTTTAACCCCCCTTATCTAGCTATACATTTTTTCTCACCAATTTTCGAACACACTGTTTCTTTTTAATATCAAAATTTGTTAATAATGTTCATTACGTACTTGTAGAATATTGTCAAAAGTATCCTCAACAGTTGAAAGATCAGACATATTTATAACACAATTTGATACATTACTATGATCCTTCCATGGTTGCCTACAAAGCATAAATGAAGAGAATGAAACATAGTATTTATTAGTTGAAAAGTTCCAAATTATTAGAATATGAAGACTTACAATTCATTGTATTGTAAAGTTAAATTTAAATTTTTTTTATTTTTATATAAATTATCAGTCTTTTCTGCAGCTTCCATATCGTATATATCTAAAAATTTTGAAACATTAATATACAATATAATGTTATTTTTTATAATTGATTAACTCTGCACATGATATACTGTACTTACTTGATCCATATTCTGTAATGGCTAACTGACATTTAATAGTTTGTGGCACTTGCTGATAGTACACATTAATTTTGGGAAATAACATACTTATTTGGTCCAAGAAGAATGTTCTTAGTTCTAACAGATTTCTTCGTAATTTAGGAACATTCAAAATAAATCTGAAAATAGAATAAAATATTAGCAATTTGTTATTTACAATCATTAGATAAAACAAATATGTATACAGACGAAAAAAATTACAATAGCAAAGAATTAAAAACAGATAAGCATGCACACAATTTAAGGCAACATAAACATGTAAAATGAAATTTTCTAGAAACTTTTACTAAGATCTATTATTAATTTTTACAGTACATCTCTGTTATTGAATATTAATAATAACATGTAATGAAATGGCATTTTATTCACAATAATCAAATAAAATGAAAGTGTACAGTAATACTAAGCAATACTGAAAACTAATATATAAATAAATGTTTTAGCATACATGTATTTTGTTTTACATCTTGCAGTTGAGTGTTCATATAATATAAAAACTAGTTTACATAGCAAAACTTAAAGAAAGCAAAGCCATTTTTATGCAGCAAAATTTTAGAAATGCAAAGCTTACCGAGAAGATATCGTGTGTTTAGTACAAGAAATCATCTGTGGAGGTGTAGGAACAATATTGCCAATTACTTTATATTCCAAGGTACGACTTTCTATCTTGTTACCAATCAGACTATGATCACATGCATAATGTTAAATGTGATATTACATATAATAATATTATAAAATACAATTTTATAAAACCACAAAAGTATAATGTATAATTAGAATCAGATAATTATATAAACACGAATGAAATTATGATTTTAAAGCAATATGAAATAAAAATAAGTTTGAAATATACATATAAGGTTACTTCCTAATACTCAACAAACAAAAATTAATAACCAACATAAATTACAGAATGTATAAAATAAAAATATACTGATTATTTTACCAAAATAACGTTATTGTATATGAATATATTGTTAATTTTTAATTTGATTACATAAATGGCTTGAATTACGTTGTTATTTTAGAAGCATGCAATTTTAAACAAGCATTAATTCATGCATATTAGTTAATTGCACAATAAAGCTATATAATTACATGAGGTTACATAAATGTTTAAAATATTGTTTAAATAAATTTATAAATGTTAGTTTAAAACATTGTCAAAGAGAAAAAATTACAAAATACACACATGCTTACTTTGTAAAAGTTGCATACACTACATCTGCTGGCAATGTGCATGGTAAACTAAGTAGTGAGAGAAGTTTCACACTTCGATGTTTAAATAACCAATTAATTAAGCCTTTATCAGCAGAATCAATGGCATCTTGAAATATAGTTATATCTATATACCTGTCTATGCATTTTGCATTCCACACATTCAGGATCATAAACCATGTTGTCATCAAGGGTTTCTGAGACAACAAATGTGGATTGAACTGCCAGACATCGAGTACAGCTAAGTAAATTATTACGCTTGAGAAATCTTAATGCATCATAGAATCCTTGTTGACACATACTTGAAAGTATCTGGAAATATAATGTTCAATAATATGAAAATTATATGTACTATTAATATTTAAATGCTATCTAAAACAGTTAATGCTCCTTAAGTTTTTCCAATAACTACTAAAATTTAACAAATTTCTATTACTGTGTTTTTGTTATCATATAATAGAAAAATTAGAGACTAAAAATTATTTGTAAAAAATGTGCCAGTAAATGTTATCTTTTGGAGTAAAATTTTTATAAGAATTTGTATATCTTTGTATTTTAAATTAACTTAAGAAGCAGAATAAAGCCATGCAAGAATCTATATCTGTGAACAACATTGTTACAAATAATTTATACAATTTTACCTCTGGATTAGGTGGGAAAAGTATTCTTGCAAACCTGTATATATTTTGTCTTGAAAGCTCAATACTCGTATTTGAAAAATTGACCTATAAATTACAAATGTTCATTTATTATGTATTTCGTTTATGTATGTAATTTATTATATATATTATACTAATTACTATACAAATAATTGAATAACTATTCAATTCATTAAACAATATGTTACAGTAAAATAACGTTTATTATAACTATAGAATAGCTTAACATGAGCTATTTATTCTTAAGTATAGACATTGATGTATTCAAGTACCACCATTGTATATTACACACAATCATACACACTACATAAATTTATCATCACATCTTAGTTCCGTTATGACACGGACGCTCACCTACGATATTTTTGAGTGCCTTTTCTTCTAAAAACTTTTGTTTATTAAATCTTCTACCCAGATGCCGAAGCCCAGAAAGTGTTTTGTGGATGCAGAAACTCTACGTTTCTGCAAGCCATGAGCCTTTCTGGCGCCCATTTGTAAATACTTAATTGTGATTGAGGTGTAGAAAAGCCACTACGTGACATGTAGATATATACTCTTTTAAATAAGAATAGTTCGTACCCCTTGGACAGTCCTCCATAGGCCGCGAACATACCACTCACCCTGGTGTTTCTAAGTTAGCAGAGTGCTGGTATGACGTTGTGGCGAAGAAATTAGACCCAAGAGATGATCGGTCCTAATGGGATTCAAGTACCTAGATGTCACGCAGTGGCTTTACTATACGTCAGTCGCTACTGAGTATATACGAATGGAAACCAGAAAGGCTCGTTTTTCCTGTGGAAATGCAATGTTTCTGGGTCCATAAAACATTTTCTGAGCCTCGACATCTAGGCAAAAGAAGATTTAATAAACAAAGGTTTTTACAAGAAAAAACATTTAAAAAAAAAACCAAATTCAAAAAAAGCGTTCTTGTTATAAAGCCAAAATTTTAATAATAACACATATTCATTATAAATAACTTACATGGAAAAGTTGGGAGGAAACATCTCTAGGGCAAATGTCACTTTCACCACAAAAGGGACTAATAGTGATAGTATTTTCATCAAGTGTAGGAAGATTATCACTAAAACCACCATCCATATATCTAATACCGTGAAATCGCGGTGGTAAAAGACCAGAGAATATTGGAATAAATGTACTGGCCAATAATGCCTAAAATAATGAAGTATCATTATATTTTTAACAATAATAATATAATAATATAATTCAAATATCATACGAAACGGAAATATTTATAAATGTCCTTTACCTGCAATACATCTTCTCTAGAAGAGAATTGTGAAACAATTACATTTTTTCCATCATAAACTCTTGTTAAGGAAACATGAAGTTTTCCACTTACACGAATATGAGCATCATCAGGAAGAAACTGCAACAGAAATTGAAACATTAATAATACAAATTAATCTTAAAATTTGTATTTACTTTATATATATTATAACAATACATACC